AGGGGAGGGAGCCCTTCTCTGGAGAAGGCAGCTGATCCAGACGTTGGTGAACACCAGTTTCCTCTCCCAGACTTGCTCAGGCCCATTTGGGGGAAAGTCTTCCATGGATGAGGTGCCTTTCTTGCCCCGAGGGCCTGGAACCACGGTCTCAGGGCCTTGGCTCCTGCTTTCCACTTACCTGACTCGCGAAGTTCTCCTTGCGTTCAGCGGCCATCATCATGCATTGGCCTCCAAGTCGTCCTTGGGACTCAAAGAACAAGTTTCATTGCTTTTCCCCGCACGACCGGGGAGGTCTGGATCACTCCGGGCCGGTCTTCCCTAAGTGCAGCGTCCCTCCGTGGCCACTCCTACCTCCCCAGTCACTCACCGTCGTCGCTCTGTTTTACGGTCTCGTGGCAGGAGCCCCAAGTGCTGAACTGCAGCACTGGGCAGTGCGGGGAGTGAGGAGCCCTGGGAAGAACTAGCCATCACAGACCCTCAGCTCGGGCACTGGTGGGAGGGCCATCATGATGTGGGGTTACAGTGTCTAAACACCCCACCATCTTCATACCTGTGCCAGGGTAAAACCGGTAAGGCCAACACTCTCCTGGGCATCGCCTCTTCTTTATTTTGGAATTTCAGTCCCTTGCGAGGGACTGAATGTTTGTGTCCCCCCCCCACTCCCCATCCATCCCTCGAGATCCTAACCCCCTAGTACGATGGTATTTGGAGGCGGGGCCTTTGGGAGGTGCTTAGCTCAGGAGGCTGGAGCCCTCCTGGACGGGACTGATGCCCTCATAAAAGAGACCCCAGCGGGCTCCCTTGCCCCTTCTGACATGTGAGGACACAGCGAGAAGATGGCCTCCCATGAACCAGGAAGTGGGCCCTCACCTTGATCTTGGACTTCCAGCTCCCAGAACTGTCAGAAATAAATTCCTATGGTTTATAAGCCCCCTAGTCTATGGTGTTCTTTATAGCAGCGGAAGGAACACACGAAGACACGGCCTTCCTTTGTTTATCATCGAACCGTCTCCTTAAGCTCTTTGGGAAGCATTTGCTGGGCTGTGGCCACATTAGGGAGCAAACTTATCACCATACACGTTGGGCTTTTAGCGTGGGTGATTGGGCACACTCCCTACTTTTTTTTTTAGTGTTTTTTAGGTTTTGTTTTTGACACTCCCCCCCCCCCCCCCCCCCC